GTGGGTGTTACATTGTACAGTGGCATAATGTGCACCTCTGCCTACCCCTTCGGGAATAAAAGGCGTGATGTTATGTTACGTTTTAGATATGTCATAGCCTATTGTAAGGACGGTTTGAAAATGTTTAAGACTCGTTTTATACAGGTCTGATATAACAATCAGGACCTTATCCTATGAATATCCAATCTTACAGTTCAGTTCTCTGATATTACAATTAATGTTTTACTAGATGTCGCCTATAAGTTTAAGTTGAAACTTAATTTACCGTGCACAAAACTATTTAAAGAAAGGAATAATTAAACAGTTCAACTATTTAGCCAGAATAGTGAATGCTCGTTAAATTTTAGATTTACATAAACTGTTACTGTTGTTTTTCCAAAAAGTACATTGTTCTTAATAAATTGTCCTTGATAAAAAGGTATATTATATCATCTCCGAAGGTTCATGAAACTTAGAAACAACATCCTCCTTACATACATAACATCACGCAATATCGCCGAAGGGGTAGGCAGAGGTGTACTGTATGCCACTGTACAATGTAACACCCACTTTTCAATATTTATGTTATGAGTCCCATGTAATAGTGGGTGAGCATACTGCCATATACCGGGCACAATTCCAGACTCCGTGCTACTACTGAGAATTTTTTAAAAACCCAGTAATACTTTGTTCGACCCGGGAATCGAACCCGAGACCCCTTGCCCGGCAGTCGCACTTGCGACCACTCTGCCAATGAGGCAGTCTCCTCCTTATGAAAACAAAATATTCAAGAAAATTTATGGTTATTTTCACTTTCAATAGCTTGGTTTGAATGACACATAACTATAGTGATGAATTTACTAGGATTAAACTTTTTAACATCCCATAAATATAGAAAACCATTACTGTATATACCACAGCACTGTCAGTTTCTAAGTTTCAACCTTCAAATACATATTTTTTCCTCTAATTTAGCTACCTACTCATAGCACGGCCGCCTGCATTGCCCACCCACCCAAGGAATGTTCCCCACCGCTAAATAAACGTCAAAGTTTTCTTTCTTCACAATTTGTATTTTTTTCAAACGAACGCCAACCAATAAAACAGGAGTTTACAACGGTTACGTTGCGCGCGCGCATATTTAACTACCTCGACCGTTTATTGGTGTTGAATAAAAATAATAATATAGACATGCTACTCTATGGTTTTGTAAGATTAAATATTTATTATACTGTCCTACTCCTACTGCATATAATTTGATTCGTTATAGGTTAAATTATGGTCAATGGTGTAAAATAATTATATACATAATGAATATTAAACAAATTCCTAGACATGGGGAATGTATTTCATACGTAAAATAAAATAGGACAAAATAAAACTATCACAAACAAACATAATATAAGGTATCAGAGCCTAATATCTATATAAGAAAAATGAGGATTTTGAAACACGTAACTAACCATCAAGCCTTTTATTCCAAGAAATTACAAGAGACCGCTAAGACTCTTAATTATCTTGAAATACAAAACTCAATCCATTAACATTTTTTCCATAAATATACCTTTGGACATTAGCTATATCATGAAAATGACACTATGGAATGACCTACCATAGTTGGCACGAAAGCTCAATCGAACGCCAGATTAAGCGCCGCAAGTGGGAATGGACAGGCCACACGCTCCTAAATGGCCCCGACCACATACCCAAGCAAGCCTTGGGCTGAAATCCCCAAGAGAAAAGAAAGCGTGGCCGTCCTCGTTAAGCCTGGCGTCCCACGTACTAGCAGAAGCGACGAGCATCGGTATAACGCGGAGTCGGGTGAAGCTTGAAGCTCAAGGCAGATCGCGATGGAAAACTTCAGTGGACAATGTGGACATCCTTTGCCCCATCTAGGGGACACAGGATATTAAGTCAAGTAAGTCATAGTTGGCATACTATTTTCTATTCCAAACTGGAAAACAACCTTTTTTTGAGGAGGGAAAATCATGACATGACTCCTCCCGCCCGGGTGAGGCGGGAGGGAGTGCCAGACTCTTACTGACTAAAAACCACCCCGTTCCTTCTCCTGCACTTCGAGCCGAAGCCCCGGCAACCCGTTAAATCTTCCGTATCAACCGGTCCCTAAAGAACTATTGTCGCAATCTAGAGAACACAAAGTTGACACTAATACAAACCGCAAATACATTTCTAAGAACCCGTGATTTGCAGAAGTCAACTGTGAGATCTGTAACACGTGGTGCAGTTGAAATAGTCACAGGCTACCAGCACATTAACCTGTACCATACATACTAAAGTATTTTATACATTTTCAACTTTAGTAACAAAGTCATAAGATCGAAAATCTATTAACATATTTGACATGTTCGTAGCTGTACTTAGGCAAACAGTGTGTAGAGAAAACGCATTTTGATTTATGTTTCTACTACATACATACTAACGTTTTTGTTTCTGTCATAGTTTTATTTCCATTGCAGTTATTAATGGGATACTAGTTACATTTGTCCATTTTTACGCAGCAATAGAGGGAAAATTATTTAATATTATTATTATATTGTATCTTTTTACATATGTGTTATAATTAAATTAAGATAACACTACCGTAACGCGGTCATTATTGCTTTTATACTTTATACCAAATTGTGTGGCAATAGTGTGGGATACATATGTATATTTACTGTAGCTGTAGTTTAGTGCAAGACTTTTCATGTAAAAATTTTAATAGGTAACTGTTTTTGTCCCTAAATAAATAAATAAATAAATTATCTACGTGAAGGAGGCCATGGTCCAGCAGTCGTCTATTATGGACTGTTAATGAAGCGACTTGTGGTGTATAAACGACTCCAGCCTCTTCTCTACCATAACAAAATTAAACAAAAAGTTTGCAAACTTGTATCAACTTAATTTCCCAACTGCATCAGAGATATAAACTGGTTTGATATTCTTTAGTTCCAAATAGTTCATGAAAAAAACTCTAAGAGAAGTTTTAGATCATTAAAATTCAAGGCTTGCTGGTCTTTGACCCTAGTTAAATATTCATATCCTAAAATTTTATATGAATTATACTAGGTAATCGTCTTTATGATATAACTTACTGTACTAGAAAATAACATGTTTTAATAAAAACGTACATAATTACGTTGGTGGAAAAAAAAATGAAACAAAAATTACCTACTCCATGCGAAGATGAAATAGTATGCAAAAGCTATCTTCATGAAAAATTGTGTATTATGAGAGCGTATTGTGAAGTTAACAAGAAAATAAGTTTTATACATTCCGCATCTACTTCGCCAAGCTTATTCTCATAAAAATATGTGCTAAGTATATTCGTAAAACAACCAAACATTATTTGAGAAGAACATAAACCGTTGATTTAAACTGTCAAATACCAAGCGGTCACCGGTGACCGCAACCTATTGTTCTATAATTGTGTCTACAAAACCGGTACTCGACGAGTTAAAATACAACTCGAAATAACAACTTTATGGTACCAGGAACATAATTTACATAAATAGGAGCTCATAAATGCAGTCTGTACTTAAATCATTTGTTACAATCATTCCATGGTGTTACGACAGCCATAACCTTCTCAACAGTCCTATGACCATTTCTTGTCAGTCATCGAATGCGTCAAGCCATCAAACCATCGAGCCATCAAGCGGCCGCCATTAATCGCTAATGAGTGACAGAGAAAAGCGCGGGAAAGCAGTGGACGCAAAGATAACGCACATTCTGCCTAGTATCGATACGCAATAAATGTTTATTTCAGTTCGTTAAATAACTTGGGGATGATTTAATGGTTAGATTTTTTGTAAATGTTGTAGTTTTTTCAGTTGGTGAGTTACGAAATATTTCATTTATTTTATCTGTGACTGTGCCTCTTTATATTTCAGTAGTTTTTAATAGTCTTGTTCGATAGTTTTGCCTTTTTCAAATCACATATTCGGAATAGATACTTCACCATTGTTTCAAATCTTACTGATGTAAAATAAGATGTTTCTAAAATCTAAACAAATAAACTATACGGAACAAAATATCAGCCTACGTAACACATTACGTGCTCACAAGAAGCCGTACAACATCTCAAACATGGATATTTCATGAAAATATTATCGAACACCTTTGGATTATTCGATGAAACACACACGGCGTGTGTATCGGAGGTATAATTAATTTAAAAACCACGATCTCGATTAGCGACTGTTTAATTTAGGAGGTACATTGTAATTCGGCGAGCAGACCGCTCCCGGCGATATTGGGTCAACATTGTCCAAACGCCTCGTACGATGAACTATGAGCATTATCGAGGAACGTTTCGCAAGTTGTCGTAAATCACCACACGGGAGGTTTCATCGTGATTCGTGAACACATCGCATCGGTTCCAATGACTTCGATTTAAAAAAAAGTGCAGAATTGACTTCTAGATGCTAATGTTTCAGAATCTGGATCAGAACTGGCTGGTTAAATGGTTGAAAATAGAATGGAAAGTGACTTTTTAGTAATGTTTTAATTTATTTCACTACAATTGATAGTAAAATTTTAATTGTAGTGTAGTAATTTTTTCTTGTGTTTATTTAAATAAAAAAACAGAAGTAAGTTTACAGTTAGATAATATCTAAAGAAATTAAATTGTTCACATATTCAAATTGGTAGTTAAAAACATTAAGAAAAGTAAAGAATTTTTATTGTTTAAAGGACTATTTTGTTTCGAAAAACAAGTTTCATGCAATTTCATATTTTTTAATTGTACATAGTTTTATGAAGTCAAAGTTCTGTTTTCATTTCAGTACATAAACCGGTTTATTAGTTCATCATTAGTTTTCAGAATGTGTACTAAAATTCAGAGTACATACTTTAATTTCTCACCGCGCTGTTATTACGAAACTGGAATGTAAACAAATACTAACGAACACCTTGATTAGTTGCAAAACTAGCAGCAGCGGCGATTGTGAGAGTTAATTACAACCAGTGCACTAATTGTCCCGCACCTCGTACCTCCACACCTCGACACGTGTACGTACCTAGACCTGCCGACGTAATCACAGTTTACGTAAATTTAAAAGAACCGTGTCTCACAAGATAACCAACCGTCCGTCATGGCAGAATATATCGCGACTCACGTGGCGTGCACGTAACGCGCGGCTCCAGGTTGCGATCGCTAGATTTCAGACACACAATTTTAATGCATGCTTTTTATTTTGTCATTAACCTTCGGGGTGCTCCGGTTTCGAATCGGCAACGTTTTATTTTTGAAACACGGTTACGCGCCGCGGTGATTAGCGGCGAGTCCACGCGTGCACACCGGTCACGCACTCACTGGCGGCTCGGGGTCCCGCACTGCACCGCCGCACCCACTAACATCGAAAAACTTCAAAAATTCGATAGAAAAAAAGTTCGCGTTCCGTTTCCAAAAGTTGCGTTGGCCGGTGTCGGCGGCGCGCGGGGCAGGCGCGGGCGGCGCGCACAGACGTTCGCGGCGACTGGCCCGCCTCGCTGAAAAAGCTCCTTACGTTAAATACATACAGGGCGATGTGCATTCTATTTATAAACTTAAGTTGGGCGTGCGGCACGCGCGTGCAGCGCGCCCGCCACTGCCTACATTAACATCATAATATTTGAAGTTATTAGGTCAGCTGATGAAACGGGTTGCGGCACACCGGCGCACCGCCAATAATTAGCTGCACCTCGCGGACCCCGGCTCCTCGCGCCGTCGCCTGCCTCCAGCGGCCGCAGCGCGGTGCATCACACGCACCACTAACTAGGTGTAATAGTTACACATTGGAAGGGCTCCAACAATAATAGAGATATGTTACGTTTTATGATGATCGTGAGAACTAGTTTGACGCGCTCCCGCCGAGCATCCGACGCGCTCCGTTTTAAATTTTATTTTATTTACTAAAATAACATCTTTAGTTACAGTGAAAACTATAAAAACGGCAATAAATATTGAGTTCGACATTTAAATTTATTATCGTAAAACAAAATGGCTTCATATTTTTGTGATGGTTTTTTGAAAGCTTTCATTTGCGTCAACGCGTGCAGACGTGCAGGTGGCGGCCGGTGTCGCAAGTAGTCAGTGCGTGACACGCGCGACTGACGCGCCACCGAGACGTTCAATTATGGTTTACAAAGTTGTCGGAAGTGACGTGACAGTTCTCCACACCGTGTAATGAGGAACGCGTTAGTATTTCACGAGAACACGGCGCAGGAATCAAAGGCTGGCCGTACGTTGACACGGCCGCGTATAAATCTTTGAAGTTTGGGCGGACATAAACATCTCGGCGCGTACAACAACTAAATTCGACGTGTTGAAATGTTCTTCCATGTTTCTTTTTTTGATAAAAAATTAGAGTTTAATGTAATAATTTATTATGTTTATGGGTATCGTGTAAATGAGTTGAGAAGTTTATTTGTTCGCGTCAAACTGTCATACGCTTGTTTTTATTTTAGCAATATTTTATGTAGCTAATGCTGACTAACTAGCGGGAGGCGAGCGGGTCACAGATAGACGACACATTTGACATAACGAGCAGATTCATACATGATAAACGTTTGATATAGTTTGGGGTGAATGATGTATCAATAATTAAAATATTAATTGATTATGTAAACATACTGTCTAGAGTGACAAGCTGAACATACCGTAATAAATAATATTGTGTAAAATATGTATTGAAGCGTGTAATGATCATAAACTGAGTTTGAACTTGCAAACGTATATTTCATTGGCGCTATAAATCAGATAACATTCTTTTGTTTGTACTTATTTCCGTTATGATACTGTTTGATATATTTGATCTGAATGGAAACCATTACAAGATTGAACTGAATGATTTCAGTTCATTGAGGAGCCGGATGCGATGTTAGTAATTGACGCAAGTCGGGTTTTGTGATGACTAGAGATGTAAAATGAAATGTGAATTAATAACAGGTGTGATATATAACTAATAAGACTTTTATACATGTACTTAAATGCTTTATTAGTGAGCATTTGTAGGTTTAAATTCCTTCATTAATTCACCTGATACTTTTTGTTTAAGGGGGAAAATCATCAAATGCCTTCTCCCGCCTGGGTGAGGCGGGAGGGAGTGTCAGACTCTTACTGACTAAAAACCACCCCGTTCCTTCTCCTGCACGTCGAGCCGGAGCCCCGGTTACCCGTTAGGTTCTCTTTACCTGATACTAGGAATACTCGTCGTTCGACAATCATAACTATGTCCGTACTGTAAATACAAAGCTGAAAAGTTTGTTTGATTGAACATGCTAAACATCGAAACGTGCCGTTCGAATTGAACTTTTTTTATTAGATATTCATTTTAACATGGAAGGATTTAGGCATATAACATTGCACTATGCTCAATAGGAGTCAAGCAGCGTAAAGGACTATATCCTTACTATTATAAATGGGAAAGTAAGTTTGTTTGTTTGTTTGTTTGTTCCGACTTCACGCCGTAACTACTAAACCGATTGCATTGAATTTTTGCAGACGTAAAGTTAGTAGTCTGGATTAAATAATAGGGTACTTTTTATCCCGAAAAAAATTTGATATTCCCGAGGGAAAACAAAAGTATTGGTATAGATGGCGCTGTATGTATTGGTATATGTCACATGGACTACTTTTTATCCTTTTGTGACGCGAGCGAAGCCGCGGGTAAAAGCTAGTGTATACCTAAATAAACAAAATGTCCGACTTTTAGAACTAAGGTAAGTATTGCAATTTTGCTAACTCGACACGTGCCGGTACTTCGCAAGTGTTAAGCAAGAAACTTCAAGCTGTGCTCGTCTGCACAGCTATGTAAGCTGTTGGTACTTGTTCTACTTTATGCAAATCCTCACTTCACCTGTTTTGACTTTTTAGATTGAGTGTACATGAACTTTAGAAGTTTAAAAAAGTAAGTATATTTCTATGTTAAAATATGTACCTTAGTATAGGTAGATACATGTTTGTGTGTATTTTATTTTTGTTTCGAGTAAAATATTGTACTGAGTGCATTACGAATTGTGATTGATCAAATTATTATAGTTCACAGTTAATGAAATCTGAGAGCTCTTTTTCGACAGTCGCTCTGACAGCGAAATTATATTTTTTATAATTTAAACATTAGATTTTTCGCTGCTTCATTGCCCGAGTGGTCGCAAGAGCGACTGCCGGGCGAGAGGGTTCAATTCACGGGTCAAGCAAAGTAATACTGTGTTTTTAAAAAAAAATCTCAGTAGTAGTACGGAGTCTGGAATTTGCCCGGTATATGGCAATGAGCTCACCCCCTGTTACATGGGACTCATAACATAAATAGTGAAAAGTGGGTGTTACATTGTACAATGGCATTAAGTGCCGTAATGTGCACCGCTGCCTACCCTTTCGGGTATAAAAAGGCGTGATGTTATTATAAGTAATTTTTTCATGCGTTCTTAATTTTACAAGGGTACGTACATACATCATATATATATTTTATTATTGATATTTTTTCAATCATACCGCTTTTAACCAAGCTGTAGGAACTAGGACATACAAATGGACAGTTTTCTATTACACTAAAAGCGCAGTAATTAGTAACTTGGCGGACAGATGGCGCTGACGCAGAGTTCCGTGACACTTTGATGGGTCAACCGTTTGGTCACTGAATAATGCGAATTCAGTTACCAACTGCAGCTGTAACTGAAGATACGCGGATATGTGCTGAAATTCCTGAGTAATGTTCACTTTTCCGGGAATAGTTATGTATTACACAGGATTTATATTGGAGACTGACAGAAACTGCCTCGGCCTTGGCTAAATGGTGGTAAGTGCGACTACTAGGCAAGGGGTCTC